TTGAATTAGGACAGAAAATCTAAAGTTTATCAAAATTTTTAAACAATATATCATAGTACATTAAACACAAATAAACAACGTAAAACTTATTCACTTATTTTATAGTAAAACTTTATTAAACTTGCATCAATAGAAACACTTCATTCAAAGAGAAATTGAAAATACTACACAGCGAAAGATGGAAATTGTTTACAAAACAAAGTTCCCGTCATACATCATTTCATTTTTGGTTGCTTCATAGCATCAATAATTCCTATCTTGAATCAGTTTAAATCATAATTAGCATAATTGAATTAAACAAAAAATAATATGAATCTAAAAAAAAAATATTGAAAAGTAAATCATTAAAGAAATAGCTTAATTACTACTGGCACCATGGATATATGTGACCAACTCTGGCAAAACCTACCATTTGTAGCAATTTTTAATTTTCGACAAATAAACCAAAACGTTCAAGAATCGAAATTTTTTGAAGCTGGCATTTTAAAGTTTTTGCATTTTATACAAGAAGTTATATTGAAGAACATTTCTGCAAAATATCAGTAACTAAATATAACTCAAAAGTATAAATTAGAAAAAATTTCAAAATACAAATCTACTACTGAATTTAGAATCTTAGAAAGCTGTTTTCTGAAAACCTACATGGTTGATATTCAATGAATTAAATATTCATAACTTTGCTAATACTCAACTAATGTTCATCAAATAAACATAGTTTAAAGAAGAATTCATGATGAATCTAAAAACTCCATTTTGCATTATTCCTACAAACAGCTGGATTTGCTAGAGCCAGTCACATACAGTATTTAGAAGGTAAATTTAAGTTACTTTAAAAATAAGGTGGGAAATTAATATTGCAAAAACGCTAGAACTGTGTCATTCTTTTAGTGAGCCACAAATTACATACTATAATATTATTAAACCATGATAAATTTCATTTTAATTTCATAATTAACCAAATTAAAACTTCCATTATCATTCTTTAATATCATTACAAAAAATACTGTTCAATCGTTATTTAATTTTTATTGGAAAACAAGATATTTTTTTTTTGTTTTATAGTTATTACAAAATAAAATTATTATTGACGTTATCGTGAGGTTGGCGTTTTCTTCTTCGTTTTGTATCTAGATCTGGCAGGGTACTTTAGAAGTTCTGCTTTAACCGGCTTTTCACTTGGAACACACTTCCTAGTTGGCAGCTCAACTGAAAAGAAAAATACACCAAATGTTTGTCCATATTCATTCATTTTCTTTTTAGGGGATTGGGAGGTTGGACATTTAGGAAGATCATAAATATTACATTGAGTGATTGAATTAGAAATGAAAAGGTTTTTTGAGAAGAAAGAAACGGGGTAACCGATCAACATACAGTGGTGTATCTACAAAGGTACACATCCCTCAAAATGTTGTGTAAACAAATGTGGCAAAGACAAGCCAAACCAGTCACTCGTCGCAAAAATCGATTTTGAGTTATTAATACAGTGTTAGAGAGTAAAATAATAGCTATAAAATGGTAAAAATATCATTCAAATCGGACATTTCCTTATGAAGTTACAAGCGTTTAACCACACAACACAAGCGTTTAACCACACAGCTGTTTAAAGAACAATATATGAGAAATTAACCGTCAAAGTTTATGATTTCAGGCATTTCTCATGCAGAAACTATCTTTAAATCCTTAAAAAGTGTTGTTTTAACATTGAAAATGGGGAAAATAACAGCATAGAATGATGTATAGATATATAAAGTTAAGTTTAGTGCAATAAAATAGAGTGACTGGTTTGGCTTGTCTTTGCCACAAATAGCCATTCTATGACACATTGCGGCATGTTGTACTGTACTTGAAATTTTGCACCACACTGTTTGTTAGTCTTGTGAAAGGGATTGTCACCAACAAATAGGACAGTAATATACCTTAAAACCTCAAATTGAAGCCCTGGGCTTCTTTTTTTGCAAACTTTGGATGGGCTTCTTTTCAAGGTGGGCTTCAGGGGGGGGGCTTCTTTTCAAAATGACTGCTGTAAATTTTGTGAATTGAGGCATGTTGTGGCAAAATGGCTAAGTTGTAGCAAAAATTGAAATTCAAGTTATTGGTATTTTGAGATACCTGAGTATGTGATCTTTAAAATGAGGGGTCTTCATTGAAATTGGACATTTCAAGCCTAAGTTACTGGAAAGTGAAAGTACAGCACTCTTAGAGTCAAAACAAACATGATTTTGAGTAATTGCCTTCCAAAGTTATTTGTGCATACATTGTTTAATAGAATTAACTATCTAAATAACATTAAATAAACAATTTGTTGACCACTTCCAGAACTAATACTTTGGGACATGATTTGTATGATAAAACAATAAATAAGGCCACTGTAACATCAATCTGTATCATGAAGTGTATTTAAATGGCATTAAATCACCTAAACTACTATATAAACCAAGCTTGTTTTAAATTTATTTTGTCTTCTGAAATTCATGTACAGTGTTTGTACTGTACTATCTTGAAAAGAAGCCTGCAATCGTGAAAAGAAGCCCATGGGCTTCTTTTCGAGGCTAATTTTGCAAACTAAAGAGGGGGGCTTCAATTCGAGATGGGCTTCATCTCAAGATTAAGCCCACTGGGCTTCAATTCCAGGTTTTACGGTATTTGCTTTTGACAATCTTTGGTGCATGTGTTCTGTGCCTAAATATATAAATAAATAAAAAAATATAAAAAATAAAATATTACAATAAAATAATATATATAATAAATAAAATAATAATATAATATAAACTAAACATGCTATTAAATATCAAGTAAAAATTAATGAAAATAAAAAGTCAATGCAATAAACTTACTACAGTATAAAGGACAAAGGTCAAACATCAAAATATTCATCCTGAAGGAACAAGCAAAACAAAATGGAATCAAGAAGATTATAACAAAAAAAGACATACATAACAGGCAGGCATGCTAGCATTTTCAAGTGAGCTACCATAATAATCAGCACATTTTGTGCTTCAAAGTACCCACTGGTATTCCTGGGTGGTAAAGTGCCTTGACTAAACGACACAAACCAAATGCACAGCGAACGACGGAACCTCAGACATCAAGGTTGAGATGCAGAACTGCAATAGCTGCGCTAAACCGAATAATAATAATAATAACGACAAAATTAATATTTATAATTAGAGTTTTACTTACTCCAATCAGGTGATCGTGTACGTGTGGGTGACCTCGTACGTGTGGGAGACTTTGTTCGTGTCGGAGAGCGTGGACGTGTTGGAGAGGAAATAGACTTTGAGATGGGAGAGAATAAACCACTCTTTTCGGGGGACACCGACTTCCTATCAACCGATCTAGACCCTGGGCTGGGTGATAATGTACTTCTACGCAGCTCTTGTGCTATTCTTTCCCTGTGGATTGAAACAAACGCCTTTGTTTAAAAGAAGACTTTCAAAGTAAAATATATTTCTACCTCACAATCATTCAGTCCAACAAACTTTTGGTTAATCATTTAACAGAACAGTGAAAAATATATATTATATTAATACCACATTAGGTAATACCAAAATGTCATTAGTCAATTCCACTCGGTAGGCGGTGCGGTAGTTTTGACTACTTCCTTGTGTGAGAATATTTACGCAGACATAATAATTAAACAAAAATAATTAAGTATATTATTTAATTATATGTGGCAAAGACAAGCCAAACTAGTCTCTTGTTGCTAAAATAAATTTTTACTTATTAATACAGGATTAAACAATAAAATGTGAGCTATAATATGATATTAAGAATCATTTAAATCCAACATTTTGTTATGAAGTTACAGAAGTTTAAATATACAGCTCTTAACAAGAGAGAGAACAATCAGAGAAATGAGCCTTCAATGTTTATGATTTCGGGCATTCCTCAGGTAGAAGCCATCACCAAACCGTTAAAAATTGTAGTTTTAATATTGAAAATGGGGAAAATAACAGCATAGTATGATGTATAGATAAAAGATTATTTTAGTGCAATAAAATAGATCTTAAAATATTTTTACATTCCAGCATGTTTTGGCCATTATCTCTGAAACAGGATTTGCTACGAGTGAATGGTTTGGCTTGTCTTTGAAACATATTATCTATTTTTGTGAATAAGGCTGCACTACGGTCAAAAGCTCAAGTAAGTAAATTCTTTAAAATTATCCAGTTATTAAAATCAACATAATCACAAAATAATGAATATTATTAAAGAAAAAAATGGTTGTTTTTTTTAAATAATTGGTAAAGCTTACTTGTCAAATCTTTCACTGGTTAGCTGCCGCCTCATCCTCTCACTCTCTGATTCCATTTGGCTTGTTCGAGAACGCAGGTTTTGAATCTCTCTTGTTTGGCTTTGACTAATAAAGAAAAAAATTTGTAATAATAATAATAAATAATAGAAAATTATATCGTGCCAATTGCTACAACGTGCTGGTGATGTTTGTTGTTATTATTTCGTTTGGGCATTGGATGCTAAACTTATCAACCAGCATAAAGTGCAAACTCCTCCACCCACTGGATAGTATTCCTAGTCGTGCTTGCAATTTCATGACAATACAGACCAACATATTCAACGCCACATCATCCTATGTTATACCCCTGGGTGGAGAGAAACAAACCCAATCAATATTAAGGAAGGGCTAGAAAAAACATGCGATGAATTTGTCTAGTACTAAAAAAAGAAACCCACTTTACAGAATCACAATGCTAACTTGCTTGTGTAGCCAATATTCATTATATTTTATGCAAGTGATAAATCTCAAATTATAATTATTATTATATAAATACATAATTCATACATTTTGCTATCTGCTAATGCCAGACGATCCTTAAGGATTTGTAACTCAGATCTCTGCTCTTGGCTCTCCAACTGGTGTTGGAATTCCTTTTCCCGGTTGGCTTGGAGTAGGCTTTCCAAGTTCCTTGAGGATGACTTCTCAGTTGAGATTTGGCTATGAAGGAGGTCAGCTTCTTTCTTTACATCTTCAAGGAGACTTTCAACCTACAAAAGAAAAAAATGTATATTTTTACCATTCATAAACATCTTTAACCACTTTCCTGTACCAGCCCCAGGTATCACACGCCCATACCAACCACATGTACTATGCTCCAGCACCAGTACATCCCATCTACATCATTCAACTGAACCACCAACTTGTACCGCCCACCTAAATTGACCAGAAGAGCCACGAGCCCCATTCCACCACATCATTCAACTGAACCACCAACTTGTACCGCTCACCTACACTGACCAGAGAGAGCCACCAGCCCCATTCCACCACATCATTCAACTGAACCACCAACTTGTACCACCCACCTACACTGACCAGAAGAGCCACCAGATACACATCTCTACAGTATAAAGGACAAAGGTCAAACATCAAAATATTCATCCTGAAGGAACAAGCAAAACAAAATGGAATCAAGAACCACCAACTTGTACCGCCCACCTAAATTGACCAGAAGAGCCACGAGCCCCATTCCACCACATCATTCAACTGAAACACCAACTTGTACCGCCCACCTACACTGACCAGAGAGAGCCACCAGCCCCATTCCACCACATCATTCAACTGAAACACCAACTTGTACCGCCCACCTACACTGACCAGAGAGAGCCACCAGCCCCATTCCACCACATCATTCAACTGAAACACCAACTTGTACCGCCCACCTACACTGACCAGAGAGAGCCACCAGCCCCATTCCACCACATCATTCAACTGAACCACCAACTTGTACCGCCCACAAAAATTGACTAGAAGAACCACCAGCCTCATACCATCTACATCATTCAACTGAACCACAAACTTGTACCTCCCACTTACACTGACCAGAAGAGCCACCAGCCCCATTCCACCTACATGAACCGATTGAACAACCAGCTTGTACCATCACCAGCCTGTACCACTATATCCTTTACCACCCACCTATATCAACAACTGAGCCACCATAACACGTACCGCACTTCTACTCTGACCAGAAGTGCCACCGACCAAATAGCACCACATCTTGTACCACCCACCTACATCGCCCAACTGAGCCACCACTTCATGTACCACCAACCTACATCAACCAAGTGAACCACTAGCTTGTACCACCGCACCACATCCTGTACCACACACTTACATCAAAAAATTGTGAACTACCAACCTGTTCCTTCTGTATATTGCTAGCAGTCAGCTGTCTAGACAATGATTCTTTTGTGGTGTCCAGTTTCATACACAGTTCTCGTACCGCTGATAAATCCTGCAAGACGGCTTGCTTCTCTTCCTGCAGTTGCCGCAAGTCGTCCTCCATGTTGGCAAGCGATTTGGTTAAATTTGACACCTGGATCTCATATGATTGTTGAGATTTCTGTTTCTGTAAGATAAACAAACTTTGTTGAGACCAAATTATTTTCATATCTTGTTTAGCGAACACTCTGCTCGCCATAATGATGAGTTTGAATAAAAATATTATTATTGGCACCTTCTGTCACAAAAAAATGGAATTAAAAAAAAAAATCTCCTAAAATAAAATATTAAATTCTTCCTTAATTATATAAATTTAAAGCATTTATTAATCCCATTCTTACACTGTTTACATTCACCAATACAAATGTACTTTTAAGTTTTCCTCTGCATGGATGTTTATGGCAAAACCATAAGCTGGCTAGAAACCAAAATTTTTATTTTCTTTTTATGCCTTCCTCTAATGAACTCTGATGAAAAAAAGTTTGCTAAACAAAGTACAAAAAAGTCTCGTCTACGTAATATGCTGCTCTATACAAACTAAGACTCTTTATGAGGCTTGTGGAAATTAATTCTAGCATTTATCAGGTTTTGAACCAAGACTCTGGTATTGGAAGCTGAGCACATCAACCCCCCCCCCCCACCTTACTGTGCAGCTATTTTAACGTACTTCTTGCAATTCTAGTTCAAGCATATGTATTCTATCACTGACTCTCTGTAGTTCTGTCTGTTTGGTAAGCAGTTCTACTTTCGCGTTGGTTGTCTCGTCCGCCTGCTGAACCGCCTCGCTCTCCCAGCGATGCGCTTCGGTAGACACTGCACGGTAATTGCTGAGGAGATCAACGTTTTCACGCTCCTGGAATTGGAATTTTAAAAAGTTGCTATCATTATCTACCTCCAGTAAATTACAGACAAATGTTTCCTAAATTGTGGGCTACAACCGAAAAAATTGGACAGCAAATACATTTCAGTAAATCATATTTCAGATTACACTCATAGTCATTGAAGACTGATTCTTATATAATTTTTCCATATATGGGTATATGATAGAATATCATCATGCCCATGACATATAACATGACATACTCATGCCAATATATGGGCATATATTTTTGTATATATATTACGTTTACCTTTGCTGCCAGTAAGTCTTCCATCCTTGATACCTCACCTATATACTCTTGAATTTGAGATTTTAACGTTTCTCTCTCCTCGATGGCTTCCTCTATTTCACTATTCAAAGCCTAAATAAAAATCAACATTGAAATATAAATGGATATGCTACATTTAAATATTATTAACTAAAACTTTTCTATTAATATACTGTAGAACACACTAACCTGGTTCTCTCTGGTCATTGTCGATAAATCTTCTTGTAGTCGTCTGTTTTCTACGACAGCTACATCACGACCATGATTTGTATCAGAGAGTTCGTCTTTTGTTCCGTCCAACTGCCGCCTTAAACTTCGAACTTCACGATCACGACTGGACAGGTCATCATTTGTTTTTCTAATGGAAAGTCATCAATATTATTTAATGGAATTTATTAAAAATGTGAAAACAGAAATTAACCTGGTCAACATTATTAATCTGGTCAATTTACACAAGTTAACAGAACTAATCGAGTCAATGTACTCAATTAAGCAGAATTAATCTGGTAAATCAACTCAAGATAATATGTAAGCTGGTGAACTTACAGTTAACAGAATACTATGTATCAATGTTTTGTAACAATTCCTTTCTTTGCCCATTTTTTTTTTGTTTAACCTGAACGACTGATTGCAGCTGTATTGTTGAATGTAATAGAAATACCACAAATTTTCCTGTTGAAATTATTCAAACAAATTGTGGATTTGGCAGTACTTACTCCAATCTAGCTTCTAGATCTGCAATTGTTACTCTAAGATCATTACTGACTCTTTGTCTGTCGTTTAGCTCTTGTTCCAGACTAGCTACCTTCTCCGTTTTTTCATCTACTGTCATCTGGAGACTGTCTTTCTCACGATCCACCGTGCCGATGGTTAATCTCAGCTTGTTGACCTCATCTCGCAACATTGCGTTATTTTTGTTCAAGTCACCTGAAAAGTAAGCGTTTTGTAGATACTAAAATAAAAAAAAACTTATAGCACATTTTTGAATAAGTTACATAGTCTAATACAAATAAAAATTAAGAAATTTTAGCATAAACTACATTATAGTAATAAACCTTAAGCCAGGTTTCCATACAATTGCTACATGCTATCGCTGACAGCTTTCTGTGATGCTGATTGGTCAGTCAAATCAAACAGCCTTCCCGATTGCATTAGGGAATACTACACAGTACAACAATCAGACTAACAAACACTGCAACGACAGTGTAGCGATTTAAAAAAACCAGGCTAACAATAATATCCATTGAATACTTTATTACATAACATAACTACTCTACATAATACATGATATGATTATATCAAATACAAAAATTACCTGAGTTAAAATAATGAACGAGAAAATAATAATTCAATTGAACTCACCTATTCTCTCTTCTAGTCTATTTCTGACAGTGAGGGCTTCATTTAGTTCACCATGTTTCTGGACCAGTTTCCGTTGATGGTCGCCAACTGTCTGTTCGGCGTGTTCAGCTACTAATCTGAAATAATATTATGTAATTTGATACAATAATAAAAATAATGATGATGATGATGATTACAATCATAAAAAAAATAGTTTTATCAAACTAGTAATAAACTTTGGGCCACATATGAAAAATTATTAATTCTTTGGACATAACACCATTAAATATGATAAAAAGTTTTACTATATATGCAGTCAATCACGTTTAACTAGTGTGACCCTTCCAGGTCACAAGCAGCCAGTGAGCTGAACAGCGCCCTCGTTCATAGCGCTCACCTCATTTGAGTTGCAGTTGCACGTTGCTGAGATGCTTCGTCGTTGGTCTCCTCCACCCTAAGTGCTTGCGCTTTGATTTGATCTTCCAACGTATTGATCATGTTCCTCATCGAGGTCACTCGACTTTGTAACGAACACCGCTCCTGATCAGCCTACGTAGATAGACCCAATAGTGTATATTTATAGTTACTCATTTACAGTTAAACTTACTTATGCATTATGCTACTTAAACTTCTCATCAGACAAGCAGGCATATTATAATTGTTATAATAGATATAATTAAAAAACATAATCTGTAAAATAAAATATCGTATTTATTTGAATAAACAACCCCGCTTTGAATAAATGCCCCGAGGCGTTTATTTTTTATCTCGAATAAATGCCCTCCTAAATGACATTCTCGACACATTCTATCAATGTTTTAATAAAGTAGAATTACATAACATGCAATAACACATATTTGAGTATATACGTATCCATTTTACACCAAAAAAAAAATGCCTCCCTCATGCAATAACACATTTTGACAGTAACTTATGTGTTGTAATTCCACATTTACAGTGAAATCAAGGTGCGTTTATTTGAGTATCCATTTTACACCAAAAAAAAAAAAAAAACCTCCCTTGAATAAACAACAATTAAAACCCTTGCTAACAACAAACACCCGGAAACATTTACTCAAATAAATATGGCAATACATTTGTTTTTATATTTATTGTCTTGGAACAATAATTAGTGACTAAATTTGAGGTATACATGCAAATATACTCACCCTTTGATAAGCTGTTTCTAAATCTTCTATCTTCTGTTCACTTCTTGCTTTATCAGTAAGATTACTGTCTGTTGCAATCTAAAATACAATCATATGCACTTGTTTATAAGAAAACAGTTTACTGCTATTAAATACGTTAAATCCTTAGCAATTGACAACCCTGTCTATTTATGCCTGTGAGGAAAGTTCTCTGTCATCTTGTTATGGACCTATCAGCTAAGCCCCGCCCTAGGATATTATTGATAAGGTACCACAAAACAACAGTGTAAAAAAAAACAAAAAAAAACACGTGCATTTGTGGGACAACACATATGTTCGTAGAACACACACATATTCTTTGCCCTTTTCTGATTGGTCAGTTGTTAAATTTGATTGACACTCCAGAAATGTCTATTATTTGACAACATATGTTCTCTCCAGTCGTGATGACAAATATGTTTCTGTGCTGTAGGTTGTCAATAGAGGGCAGCAAACATTTATGATGAATGGAGTAATATTGTATCAACTGACCTTTAACCTTTCTCTTAGACTATCTCTCTCTGTAGTCATTCTCCTGAGGTCTGATATGGCTGTGTCTCTTTCAATTTCTACCCGTTTTAGAATGGACTGTGCCGCAAGAGATGCCCGTGAGGATTTGGGCGACTTTACCATCTCCCTTCGCAGCCTCTGTAGCTCATCATTTGCCTATGAAAGAAATATAATCTCACTTAATGCCATCTTCAAAAAACATTTTTTATACAACAACTATTTATTGAAAATCAGAACACATATGCAGCACTATTAATTAAAACTTGAATTTTTGACATGTCAACACGGACATAAAAAAACGTACGGAAACTAAATTCCTATTCCCATGAAAACCTAATGGTGAATTTCAGTATTATAACCCACTTAGTGGAACTAATTTGCTGCCATTGGAAGGTGTGCCGCCCCCTCCCCTCCTCCCAGCCTACGCCCATGGTCAACTTGCATCTTCATCAGATTATTATCACTATCATCATTACTTTATTATTATATTATTAAGATTTTAAACATATATACCTGATCATAAAGGAGCTTGGTCTTATCTCGATCAGATGTTAATACTTTCACGTTACTTTGAATCTAAACAAATAAATAAACTGCAAAATAGTTATATGGAATAAAAAACAATGCACACAGTGACTACAGACAATTTTCGCTTACTGTACACTGTTAATTTAATGCAAAATACACACCTACCACTAAGAAAATAATCTATGTTAGGATGGAGGGTTATGTAAGTGGGTCTCTGTAGTAACTTACCTCTGCCAAATGTCGCTCAAACTTATCCAAGACAGTTTGAAGCTCGTCTCGCTCTTTTCTTAACCTGAAAATCTCAGTTTCATCAAAACGGCTCTGTGAGGAAAAGAATTTTGACCAATGTTATCGCCAATCAATTTAATAATCACTAGTTTAATTTGAATGAATTTCAGCAAAGTTATTATAAGAGTTCTCACTGCTAATGCACTGCATAAATTTTTACTCACTTTTTCCCTTGTTGGTGGCGTCCTCGTTTTTCTTGATGGACTTCCAGCACTGATACGTAGAGCTTTCATAATCTCATATTCCTTCTTGTAGAAATCTCGCTCATCTTCTAGAACTCGAACAATGGCCTCTAGATGAGATGACTGCAAAAATCATTTTTAAAAATAATACGAAAACGCATTTTAGAGATACAATATCAATATTATTTATTTAGAAAAATCAACACAGAAATAAGGAGAAACAATAAGTAGAAGCAATATTCTTAAACCAATAAACTTTGATTAGAAAAAAATTATACATTTCATAATTTATTTTTCCTTAATTTCCATACTGTTTCAGAAGGAAAAAAAATAAATTAATTAGCATCCCATAATGTGTTATGGAAATATAGAAAATGCCATACATAAAAAATTTAAAATTGAAAAAAAAGGAAAAAGACATCCTTTTCTATTTTTAATTATTAAATAATTAAAAGCTAAACAATTTATAAATAATTATTTTTATTGTTTAAATGTAATAACACAAAGAGAGAATATATTTACAATGTAAATATAAAACCAAAATACAATATGACAATAAATTTAAGACTAATCCTACTTAAGCATCAATCCAATAAGCAACAATAACCAATAATTACAGCTTACCTTTTGGCTACCTGATTTAAAGGGACTAGTTGGCCGCCCACCTCGCAACGGACTACTAGCTGGGGTGGATATAATTGATTTATTCTTCATCAGCTTATTCAAAACATCAACCTCCTCTTTCAGGTAATCTCGCTCATCTTCTATAGATTTGATATAACTGTCCATTTTACTTGGAGACTTATCGCGCCGCACCTTACTGCCTTTCGTCCGTAGACGCTCCAATTCTAATACAAGCTCACGTTCTAAGGTTCAAGAAGACAAAGGATTATTAGCATGGGTGTTTTATTTTAATGTGTTTATCCAGGCTTCCAATGAATTTGCAACTCACTGATGAAGCTTTAATTACTTTACATGCTCTTACAAATATTACAATTATAGTCTAATATATAGGGCAGATCAATAGATAATAAGCAAGCACCATTGTTAAAGGGATAGCATAAAGAATACAAATTTGATTAAATTTCATAAAGTAATGACTCTGATGAATTTTCCTAAGATAAAAAATTCATATACGCATTTCAACAGTAAACTGTTAAGTATAATTTACATTATCTACCATGCGAATGCTCTAACCGCCAGAGCCATGCGACTGAGAATTCAAGCTTAGTTGGTAAAGGTGTGCGGTTGGTGTATGGAAGATATATTGACATGAAAAGTTAAAAAAGCGACAATTTCACAATGTAGATATCTATATTTGGATAGAGAACAAGTGAATCAGTGCCTGCCTCAGTGGGGAGTGGGGAAAGTCAGGGGATGGGTCAGGGAAGCAATTTCTTCTGCCGGACAAAATGGACTAAAAAGTATCTGTAGATCCAAAAAACATGCTTTGTGGTTGCAGTCCATAGTAAAGTGGTCTAGGAGAACAATTTTGAGATATCCTAAAACATCAAATCTTGCACCTTGACCTCCACTAAATAGGGGATTTTGGTATGCCCCCTAAGTTGGAATTATTAGACTCCCTGTGGGAAAATTCAATGAACTGAATGTAACTCAGTCCCTTTAACAAACAGTACAATGCAATAAAGTCAAATTCAACTTATATGAGCATCAATATTTCTTATTGTTGTCACAATGTAAACTAATATCTGCTAAGAAATGAATGTGAATAGATATTGATGTTAATGGTATTCTATAACTGGTATTTTATTAGCTGACATTATCACAATACATACACAAATATCAGCAAGTTAAATAATACCAGCGTTCTTGATAAAAGGAATTATGATAAAATTATTATAAATATCAGTAATGGTGGGAGTAATAAAGACTCATTGATCAGACAGAGACATTAAAGTAAGACATATTCTTTCAAACATTTATTTGTCAGATTCAACAAAATGATGTTTAATCAGACTTTTGTTAATGAAGTAGAATAATATCTGACCTCTCTATCAGACAGAGGAGCGCAAGTAGGTCGGCCAGTACGGCTTGGGCCTGGCTTAAGGAGGCCTGGCCGTGGCAAAAATCTATGAAATTTATGTGACAAAAATATGTGATATGCCCATATTGGGATGTTAACATGACATCATCATTTGTCACATAAAATTTGTTAGTGTGGACAATCCTACAAACAGCTGGCCTGAGAGCATCATTTTTGAGCATCTACAGGTGAAATTATAATTTTTTTTTTTCTTTAATAACTTTCACCTCAGGCCCACACCATTGTGTCACTCATCTGTCAGGAAACGATGGAACACCTGTCAAGGAAATACTGACGCCACCGCTGCTAATGCTATTACAGACAGGGAAAGACACAAAATATATTTGATCAGATATAAAATATCTGAACAGACATCTGACAGATAAAAATCTAATAATGTATGCATTGCTTCAGCTGTATATTACCATTTGCCGTGAGTTTGTTAACACAGTAAATATCTGATTGGACAAAACTCTGATAATGCAAGCATAGGATGTATACAGTATCTTACCATTTGCTGTTAGTTTGTTAACACGATCACTTAGCTTCCTTTTATCTTCTTGTACTTTGTGCATAATTTCTTGCAAGTCTAACAATTCAGCATCTTTAATTCTTTGATCCTCTGTCAGACGATCTACATCAGCTATTATATTTTTCCGCTCCTAATAGGAGTAAACATTGTAATAAATTTAATTTATGTATTTTTAAATAATCAATGTTTTTTTAGTAATATTTTTTATATTTCATATTTCTAGTAATATAGTGCAGTAGTTTAACAACTTAATTTTTAGATATATATCTTTTTGTTTTATATTAAAAAATGGGAATTTTAATATAAAAATGTTATAAAGAAAATCATTTGGTAAAGGTAATTATTTTTTGATAGACATATTTATACATTCTGTTTTATATTTGATATAGTTATAGAAATTCATCTGGATTTTTCATTCCCAGAGCATCTCTATATTCTTTATACCTGTCTCATTTGTTTCATATCTAATTCCACAGACTCTAACTCGCGGATGGTATGTCGTAGTTCAACCTTAGCCTCTGAGACATCCTGATCTGCCGCTGCGATCGCGACATCCTTATCTGACTGCAGTCTCTTGGTTAGAAGATCAATATCCTGCAGCTCTGCCACAAGTTCCTGGTTCTTCAGACTCAGTTCATCAGCTCTGGCCATGGCATCCTCTTTGTTCAGAAGAGACTCTTTCAGGCGCTTCTCAAGATCGCGATTGGCTTCTTGTAGATAGTCAATCTATAAACATTCATTTGAGTGGAGTTATAAGTAAACATAATTAATTATTATTTTTTTATAGGATTTATATAGTGCACATAACGTAAATGGTCGAATAAGTGCAGCTGCACTTATACAGTTTTTGGAGGCTTTTCTGGGGCGCTTATTAGAGAGTGGCATTTAGCATGGCACTTTCCATGCCTGTTCCCATGTTACCTATCTCAGTATTTCAGTAGCCCAATCATAAAAAAATTTTATGAGAAAGGGCGGTTTTTTTGGTTTTTTTTTAATCGGCACAATAAATTATTTCGCTTTTGTTTTTATCGATGAGGGAGAGACTGTTTATATTTGGCCTGTAATTAGTAAATATTGTATTTATAAAAACTGGTTTAATTTTATAGTTTTTTTAAAGAAAATGTATTTGAAGTCACAAAATTGCATTGTTATTTTATGCTATTAAAATAATTGATACAGCAAAAAAAACATTTTTTTTTTTTTATTCCAGCATCAAAATTTCCCAAATTTTTGACACTGAAGGGAGTGATAATCTAATCAATTTTTCTATTTGCCCTTATGCCTGTAATCAGCACTGCTAATATCATTCCGAATTATTCACCCACTTATAATCTTGCGTGAAGAGAGGCAAATGCAGATAAAGTGTCTTGCCCAATGAACACATGCAGTGTGATAAAGTCACGAACCCCCCCCCCACCTTTCCGAATGAAAGTCCAATGTCTTACATGCAGCACCACCTGCTTCTTTGTGTATATTAATTATTATTAATTATCATCATCATATTGCATTTATCTTAAGCAGATCAGAGGTAAGAAAATAAAATATCTAAAAAATGTTATAGTACTTTTAGTAGAAATTCAGAATTACAGTAAAACCTCAAATAAGTTCAATGGGCTTAATCTGATAATTTTAAGCCCCCTCTTTGCTTTACAAAAGTAGATTTGAAAAGATGCCCATCTCAAGTTTGCAAAAAAAACCAAAAAAAAAAAACCAAAAAACCTAGGACTTCTATTCAAGATTTTACGATACTGACTTCCAACAAAAGATCATAAATGTCTGCATCACACAGAACCTTGTAAGAAAAGGACATAATTGAATTTGCAATAATTATATATCCAATACAAATCTCATTAAAAATATGTATAAGATTAAGAATATAGTACATTGTCACACACAATATAAATTATCCCACATAAAAAAATATCAAAAAAGAATGCCATACATAAAATTATAATATGCAATGGGCTTAACCTAAGAATTAAAGCCCCCTCTTTGCTTTACAAAAGTAGATTCGAAAAGATGCCCATCTCAAGTTTGCAAAAAAAATTTAAAAAAAAGCCTAGGGCTAAAATT